CCATGCCCTTGTTACTTAAATGAATATAAGCACGTCGAAGGCTGATCAACCGCTTAGACAATTATATTATTTTAACAAAATATGTACATTTTTATACGCAAATGACACATTTTGAATGTCACATAACTAAAAAGTATGACATTTGCGTTGTATGTATGCATTTTTTTTAGAAAAGTATGACGGATTGACATGTTTAATCAATATGCCTCAGACATGAATGTTTGAATCTCAAGTTGCTAAAAAAATCAAATTTTGAATCCTATCGAGCATATTTTATAGAAGTGAGTAGTTAGTATTCAAATTATAATAGGTCCCATTGCTTTAATGAATATAAACATGAATGATGAGGGCCCATATCACCACTAAATCTAGCAAAAAGATGAAATTTGCAAACCGATTCAATCAGGTCATGCAAAAAATGTCAGAAAACAAGCTTCAAAAGTTTTTAACCCATCCCTTTATATATGAAGAAACATACTAAAATTCAATGATAGCCAATCGGTTTTTGTTTTTTTTTGTTTTTTGTTTTTTTTTGTTTTTTTACCAGATGGATCCGAATATGATGATCTTCATANTAATAAATTATTAGTGCAATTGACATCAAACCAAAATCTGCAACGGTACTGAAAAAAGGCACTCTTCGAATTTCGAAAACTGGCGTGTACAAATTCTTGTGTGGGGCGGTCTAACGATTAGGTATACCAAACAATCATATAAGTTAAGTAGCTCTAGCGGTTAATAAACTTATTTTTCAATATATGTCGATTTTTAATGAAAAATGTATGATGAAGTTGAACCGATCTGCTTAACGACTAAATGTACGTCACTTAAAATTGTTGCTACCTTAAACATCATGTTGGTTAGTTGAATTCTTATCTAACAGTCATGGTTTCATGAGAAGAATGTGGATCAAAATTGATTTAACCGAAGAATTAAAAGTTCGATTTTGTGCGGCAATTAGAAAAACCTGCCGTTCGTTTTAATCTGTTAGGCAATCTAAACGCGATTACATGAACACCCTTTGTTACAAATTTAAGACATTTCATAGCATGAATAAGCATTTTTAAAATGCATGACTGGTCAGCTAGCTTGCCTGTTCCTGAAAATCTACTCATAGCATTAAAATGTCGAATTCGAACCAATTACAATAAAGAATCGCCAAAGGAATAAAAGAAGAAAAAAAAAAATACTGTAATCGACAAGACAGAATTAACAGGATTTTAGTTGCCATTCGACTAGATGTAAGGCTTTTGTAGCATTTAGCTTACAACTTATAACATGTAATTCATCAACCCAATAGCAACAACAATTAAGAGGTTGTAAACCGAAACTGAAAAAACTCGAGCCACCATTAATAAAGCTTAGGCATCTAGCAACTTTGCACTCTGTCCAGCAGTCACATGTAATATGTTACAGGCAACAAGCAACGAAAATCCACCCTGGCGTTCACGTAAGGTCTTGACGCGAACAACTTATATCCAGCAGTCGCATGTAAATACGTCTGCTCAAGGAAATGAATTGCAGAAATATCAAGTGCTTCGTTTTTTAATAAAGATAGGAGATTAAAGGATATTAAAAAAAATGAACAAGAATAGACAATGAATGCATGTTTTTTCTAGTTTTCTTTGAGGTCTTAACTGATGGATTACGTGAGCTTGCCGGATTATCTTTCTCTACTTGGACCTCACATGGACACATATATAAGCTAACTTATAGCTTATTTGATTAGCTTATAAGCTTCCTGTATTCAAATAAGTTAGGTTTGGTAGGATGAGCTTTTCTGAAAAGCTTGAACTTATCTCATAAGCTTCATTGAGTGGCTTTTCAAATAAGTTTATTGAAATTTTCGTTTCAGCTAGCTAATTTTACCAAACACTTTTATCATATAAGCTAGCTTTTCAACCATAAGTCATAAACTATCAACTAGCTCGAAACTTACTTAAAAAAATATAAGCTATTTACCAAACATAGCCTTTACCATTAATTAATGTCACACGATAACTCTTCAGAATTAAAGATTATATGAAGAAAATAGTTCCATGAGTGCATATGAGTCCTCGATTATCATAGTCCTGAAAGATGGATTCTTATCACTCATTATAGTGTCACTCGCATCTTCCGATCATTTCTCGTTAATGGCTAAAACCATATTCTTTTATCTCAAGAAAATGAGACCATTATGGCATTTGCACTTCGAAACTCCATTTTAGAAGCTGTAAATGGCCACTGAGATCCCACTGGATGCTGCTGTAGAAGCAACTTTTATGAGCCCCTTTCCAAGCTAAATAGAGATTTAAACATTTTTCAGTGGCAACGTATTTGCGTCAGACCTAGATTTTATACTTTTCCATTTTATAGTGGTCTTTTCTTTTTATTTCGTACTTTAATTTTTTTAGGTTTCTAGCTCTCTTAAGCCATCTCCAACCATAGAGTTTACTCTACTTTATTCCATTCCAGAGTAAACCAGAAATTAAGTCGTGTTTCGAATCGTCCACGCTACATTATACTCTACACAAAATATTATCTTATTATTCTCATTATTTTGAATTATTTTTAATGCCAAAAGGCCCAAAACATAATTTAACTACACATTAATTCACACAACGAATATTTTCACAATCTTAGAAGGTTTGCAACTTTTTTGAAAAATAATACATTTCAAGATAAATCAAATAAAAAGAACATTACAAATAAAAGACAATAATAAAATATTGTAGAGTCATGAATATTAGAGCTTCCCCATCCATGTTCTAGAATGAAGAATTGCGCTACATTTTCGCACTACTTTGAAGATGTGAACACTATTGCGCTACATGTAGCGCGATACAATTACCGAGCTACATCTTTTTTGCTTTAAATTTTTAACTTTTTAGTTGATTTTTATTTCTAAATATTATTTTGACAAAATATACATCAATAAAATTATTTATTTTGTTAAATAATTTTGAATTTTGATTTCATAGTTTTATTTAAATTTTATTTTGTATAGTATATTTCATATAGAGTAAAATGTAGAGAACTATTGGAGACGAAAGTTAAATAGCAGAAAGGCTCTTAGCTCATACGGTGTTATCCTCGTCTTTTTCCACCATCATGGGTAATTATATACTCTATACTCTATACTCCCAAGAGTTTAACTCTACACTAGACGAAAGTAGAGGATTGGAGATGATCTTACAACGCCAAATGTAGCACAATATTGTAGTAGTGTTGAGATGTAGCTCAACACAGATCATATCTCTAGGGAAGAGTAGTGTTGAGATGTAGCGCAACAATGGATTTCCTAGGATATTTAGTTTCATGGTTTATCCTTTTGGTTGAACTTTCAAAATTTTAGTCATCATATTATCTTTTGGATTTCTACTTATTTACCTTTTTAAGAGTTTTGCATTTTCATTATGTATTTAATTCTTTTATTATTATTAATATTAATATTATTATTATTATTATTTGGTTTCTGTTTAACTAGAGTGCCGCCATTCCAATTGCAGCTAAAATCCCTAAGCTCATACATTACTAAGCTGGGTTTCCATATGACACTTCTTCCACTTCACAGTTCACACAACCCACACAAACACAAAGAAAGAACTAAAACTAAAAACACGAAAGGCCGTGTACCTGTAATAATAAACTTGAACGATTAATATATCTCTCATCATCATCATCAGGGATTTTCTGGCGTCGGCAACTTTTTCGGATCCTCACTAACCTCCTCAATATTAAATGCGGAGGCCTTAACTCCCTCAAGCACGGGCACAAGTGGGATAATGCTGTCCCTATCAATGATTCCATCTATGATGCCATACTCAACAGCCTCAATAGGAGACATGTATTTATCCCTATCAATCTCTTCCTCCACCTGTTTGTACGGTCTTCCAGTGATTTCAGAATAAATTCTGATCACATTTTCCCTGTTGTGAGTGATCTCACGAGCTTGGACCTCGACATCGAAGGCTGGGCCGCTAATACTGCCGAGTGGCTGGTGGATCATTATACGCGTGCTGGGCATCGCGAACCGTTTGCCCTTTGTGCCGCCAGCGAGGATAATGGAAGCTGTTGATGCTGACGAGCCAAGTGCAATCGTAGAGACATCAGACCGTACGAGACGCAAAACGTCAAAGATGGCCATTGTGGAACTGGTTTAAAGTAAATCATTAGAAAACAAAAATGGATTTTTAAGACAACTATCGATACCGGGCCTGAAAGAACTACCAAGTAAAGATTCATGATTGTAATAAGACTATCTTAGGGCTTGATTGTATATGAAATAATTTACTCACATTTATTTCATACTCAAAATCTAACTCAACCCCACTATTTTTAATATTATTCATATATTTAAATAATCCAAACCAATCATTCTTACACGTCACATCAACTTTAATTCACTATTCATCCACTCACATAATTTTAACTACCTATCATTTCCTTTCATTTATCTCCTGCTTTTACATCAAATCAATTTTAATCATTTCATTTTAAATATTATTTTAATACATTCTTAAAATTCCACAAACAACTAAATATACTATCTTTTTTAAAATTAACTATGGTCAACCGAAATAATTCATTTTGAACAAATTATTTCATAAACAATCAAGCCGGCATCTTTGAATTTCTGGTCGAATAGTTCGAAAACAGAAGTGCGAAAAAGAAAAATCGATGACTTCAATGGATGAACAGACAAATCGTAGCAATGAAGAAATATTTATCAAGTGATAACCTTCAATTGAGGTAGTCTTGCCTATGAATAAACAGATGGACAGGTATGAAGAGCCACCATTAGGGATCTAAGTTTCTAACCAAAAGAAGAAGTCGCATAACACGAATGGTGATTACAGAGGAATAATGAAAAATCGTAGCACACTGTTTTATTCTGTTCATCTTAGCGAGTTGTACCATTAAGCCACCAACCAGCAGTATCACGCCATAATTTGTCTTGCAGGCTAATGAATAGATGATCTATTTACTTGTAGTTATATGGGTTTGCAAATGCAAAATGTGTTCGCCTATCAGTGACGAATAATAGAAAAAGGGGTGAAAAATAACCGAGACCCTTGCTTTCATGTAAGGATTGCGTTTTGTGCCTCCATATCACTAGTAGTAGTTTATTTCATTCTCCAAAATCTCGAATCTTTCAAAATTGAGAAGAACCATAAAAGATTGCATTTTAGTAACATTATAGCTTCAGGCAGGAAAGCATCAAAATTGTCATGCCCAGATTCCAACTTCACACTCTTTCATCTTCTACAATGATTCGAATTTGAATACTCAAGTCAAGACCACAACATAAGAACATACAATTGTGACCAAATTTATCAATTCACACCAGACTAACGCGAAATATACAGCACGGATTTACCATAAATGAACCATTGCAAAGAAAAATTGCAGAAAATCAGAAACTAAAATGCACTTTATTGAGGGAGAAAAAAAGGAGCAAATTACTCAATTCACATAAACACATCAAAACCTGAGGGTGCCACCAGGGGAATTGATGAATAGCCTGATATCCTTGTTCGGATTCTGAGCATCCAACAAAAGCATCTGGCTGACAATGGCGTCGGCGACGAAATCATCAATCTCGTTCCCCAGGAACATGATTCTCTCCTTCAGCAGCAGCCCTATGATGTCTCCATCGCTGCGAATGGAAGCGAAAGGAGACTGAGCCGCGGAGGCGGAGATGTGGGGAAGGAGGTATCCCGGCGGCGGCGAGGTGAGGGTTTGGTGGCGGAAGGAAGCGGTGGAGCTGCATCTGAGGGGCG